GTTCAGTTTGATTTGCAACTCGTGCGTCAAGTGAAAATCAAAGCTATAACTTTATTGACAGTGAAACGGGAATAAAACAATAAAACGGGGATAGATCACGTCTTCAGTAATCATTCAGACGAAGGGCATAAGGTACATTATAACCAAAAAATATCTTAGGGGAATTTTAGCAGTGTCTTGTGCGTCTTACGTATATGGTGATTGGTGCTTGTTAGTATGTTTGTGTTAAATGTAATTGTTATGATGTATGCTTGTTGTTGTGTGTGTATGTGGTATATATTTCATTACCAGTGGTTATTTTCGTGTTGTCAAATGGGAGAGAGAGAGAGAGAGAAAGAAAATTGTGTTAGCTAATGGATGTATCAGAACCATGTGTTTGTTTTATTTACGTATTTGATGTTATTGCAATTACAGTGTTTTTTCAAGTTTTTTGTTCACTGTGAATGAGATTACATACATGTCTGTGTCTTGATAAGATAACTGTGATATCTACTGTTTTGGTGCCACATGCCATAAAAAAAATGAAATAAAAGTGATAATGAACAATTTCATTATGAAGATACTAAATAGCTTCTATATTTATTACTGAACCAAGCTTAAGTTGTGTTTGGGTCACAAATTTGTTGGTAAGAAAGAAACACTGATAAAAGATAGCCTGCAAAAGAGATCAAAGAAAGTTAAGTGCAATTGATACAAGACATGAATGATTGATTTTTTTTTTCTTTTTTTCTTTTCTTTTTTTTTTTTTACCTTTTGTTGTGTTATGTGAAAGCCTCTGAAGTATTTTACACAATGTCTAACGTTCTGTGTCTCTCTTTCTTTTTTTTTTATTACTACGTTTCAAGCAGCCAAAATGAATAGCAATCGGTAAGTATGTAATATTGCATGCAAGCAGGGTTTATTACATACATTTCTTCTCTGCACGATAAAACTCCTGTTATTCACTTCCTTTTTTGTCAGTTGTTGCTTGGATAATTTTTCCATTGGTGTTCCACTTCCCATGCCTCCCTCCCCCCCTCCCTCCTGCCCTCTTTT